TCCTTTAATAGTAATATTTTGGGAAAAGATTCATATCGAAATTGAAATAATACTGCAGGAAAAAATCCCTTTAAACTGGGACGAATTTCTATTTGGGCTCGTACATTCAATCCCCTCAAACTCCAAAACAAAACAATTATTTGGAATTCTTACTGTTGCAGCAAAAAAAGCAATAACTAAATGGCTCAAAGCGGATATCCCTTCTCTTGACAACTGGTACGACAAAATCCATGAAATCTATGTTATGGAAAGAATCACCTTCTCAATGAGGCTTCAGGAAAACACATTTGAAGAAATATGGAAAAAGTGGAGGATTTACATATCCCAAAGACGACCATCCCTTGTTTGACTGTTTCTATACACCGATTGAATGTATATGTATAGGTATAGATATGTATGTATGGTCACATGTACACATGTATGTGTATTGAATGTATATATGTATGTTGATATGTATGCATGTACATGTGTAGACATTTGCTATTTCAAACAACCCCTGTGTACTTTTTCGTTTTTATTTTACTTTGATTAATTTAGTTTGCTATTTCATTTGTCACTTTCGGGTCTCTAAAAATATATGATTTGAAAAACTGTACTTGTACTATAATGTGACCCCAAATAAATAAAGAATTAAAAAAAAAATAAAGCGTGAAGACAGTAGAGACACTACATACTGATATACACCTGAAATTGAGCAAAAAATATATATTTTAAGTTGTTGGTTTTAACCTGTGTTTGGCTTGCACTGCCTACTTTGTGTTTCCAGAGGAGAGGAACTACATCTGTGACCAGTGCGGCCAGACCTTCAAACAGAGGAAACACCTCTCAGTTCACCAGATGAGACACTCCGGGGCCAAGCCACTGCAGTGAGTGCTCCTGATGTAGTATGCCACATGTGTAGCTCATGAACAATTATTTAAAGTATTTTATACAAAAAGAAACATAATCGATTGGGGCAGTTCGGAATATTGCAGAAAAGGAGATATGCGTCACATGTTGATGATACCTAACAGCACTTTTTAAGGGTATATACAATCTTCAGAAGTATAAAGCTAACGTTGGGGTAATAAGGAACTACGGCAGTCACATGACCTCACGTCACCATTACTAAGCTAAATGCAGCTAATGTTTATCGTGATGACGTTAGCAACCGCTGTTTTTCTGATACATAGAAGCTTATGACATTCATGAGTTGGGTATATACTGATTTATTTTATGTCGTAGAACAACATTTTTAGATCTTTTCAGACTGTGTTAACCACAGACCTTATTTCAGACCGCTAACACATTTTGGGGCTTTAAGACTAATTCCTGGACCACTACTGACCCTGACTGCCTTTGGTGAATCATTTAGAAATAATAAATGTGAGTGGTGAAAGGAGGCTTTACATGTTATTATGGTTTACATGTTTTCCCTTCAGATGTGAGGTGTGTGGTTTCCAGTGTCGCCAGCGAGCATCGCTTAAATACCACATGACCAAACACAAGGCGGAGGCGGACCTGGACTTTGCGTGCCTGATGTGCGGGAAGCGCTTCGAGAAGGCCCACAACCTGAACGTCCACATGTCCATGGTGCACCCGCTGATCCAGGCCAAGGTCCAGAGAGGGGGCAGCGAGCAGCCGCCATACTCTGAGCTGCACGCACTGGCTCTGAGTGGGGAGGGGGGGCAGCAGGAGCAGGACAGATGACAGCAGGCGTGCCGCACCGGGACATAACCCCCCCCCCCC